ATATGATAAGTAATCATAGAAGCATCATCATTTAAAATCAAGGTTAAAATAGATTCTTTACTCCTTTAAAACAAATACTTTTCAGAATGAGCTCCTAACAGAAAAATCATGCCCCACCCTAAAAAAAAAAAAACATTGTCACCCATTTGTCACAAACATGAAAAAAAAAAAAAAAAGTTACAATATGGAAGTAATGTGTTTGCATTATTTCTGCAGGTAATGCAGCAGGAAGGTCACTGTCCAATGAATGGCTTGGAAGTCATTATTCAAAAATCCAGTTAACAAGATCAATCTCTGACTGAGGAGAGCAGGATGGGTCTGGGTTTCCTCAAAGTGGACAAACAAGTGTGAAGGAATGCAAAATAACTTTCATGATTCTTACAGGCCTCTTCAGAATAGGCAGTGAGCAATGTATGTTCACGGTTTATTAGACGCACCCCTAAATTATATTCAGCAGTCTCAGATCCCAGTGATACCAAGAGGTATTTGATGTTTATTTATCTGCCTAAATTGTATGGTATCTGGTTTTGAAAAATTTGTGATCCACAAAGCTAGTAATATGCTGTCATGTCTTGACAAGCCAACTGAGAGTGCCTCTGACCAAATGTCAACACCTCCCATAAAGCCTGAGGTAGATCAAAGGATTTTCAGTTAGAAGTCAATGACTGGCAACATGTTGGAGCTATGCAGCTCTGCAAGTTGTATTTTATATATATTCTGTTTTATATCCCAAATACATATTAAATCGTCATTAATTCATGTGATAAAACAACATTTTCTTTGGATTTACAAAGTATTCAGTTCCAAAATACGGTAAACTCTATGATGTAATTAACCAGACGCTTATACCTTGTTCCTGAAGAATGCTAGCTATTATATTATATGTGACAGTTTGTTGTTGTAATAGTTGTTGACCAATCTCTTCATCAGCCCAAATGAAGAGAAGAGCTTAGTTTCATTATCACTCCAATTAAAAGACATTTGTAATCAGTTGCTGAGTAAATGCATCATCTGTGTCATGTATGAATGGCCCAGAGTAATTGCTCTTTTCAACGGCTTCTGATTGACCTAAATCACTTTATTCAGCACGTTCTGGCCTGGTGCATGGCAAAATACCGGTAATCTTCATTCTGCGTTCACACAGCACATACACTGGTAATATTTACAACTTCGCTCTGTTGCCGGAACCACTTTACCAGTACATTTAAAAAAGGTCCTGTTCACACATGATCTGTTACTGATCTAAGACTTTGTGAGAAAGGGGCTGATATCAGTGCATTAAGGATGAATAATTCTGTAAAAAATGAAAATTCTGTCGTCATTTACTCACCCTCAACCTGTATGAGTTTCTTTCTTCTGCTGAACACAAAGGAAAATATTTTGAAGAACAATTGGAACCAAACAGTTGTTTTGCGCCATTGACTTCCATAGTAGAAAAAAATACTATGAAAGTCAGTGGCACCAAAGTTCCAATCGTTCTTCAAAATATCTTCATTTGTGCTAAGCAGAAAGAAAAACTCGTACAGGTTTACAACAACTTGAGGGTGAGTAAATGACAGAATTTTCATTTTTGGGTGGAGTATCCCTTTTAAGTAATTTCAAAGGCATTCAACATTTCAACCTGTGTTAACCTTCCCCCCCCCTCACAAACACAGACACACACCCTGTGGTGCGATTTGAAATATGACAATGAGCCAGAAGATTTGAGGGTGGAGCTGAAGGTATTATAATACTATGAATTATTACAAAAGGAGAGACTTTATAGATTATAGGGTGTGAAAAAAAAAAAATTGACTCTCTTAAGGCCTATTTATACTTCTGCGTAGGGTGCGCGCAGTAGGTACGGCGTAGCATACGCACAGAGCGTCCCATTGCGCGTACCCTTCGCCGTCGCCTGACGCGCACCTCCTCAAAAATGTAACTACACGTCGCGGCGACGCGGACCGCAAGATCGGTGATTGGTCGGCTTGTAACATCGCATTTCCTCCTACGCATTCCGCACGTACCTTCTCACGCATTTCCTCCTACGCATTTCCACACGTACCTTCTCACGCATTTCCTCCTACGCATTTCCACACGTACCTCTCACGCATTTCCTCCTACGCATTTCCACACGTACCTTCTCACGCATTTCCATCACTGTCTATGATTTCACACGTACCATCTCCTCCGACGTCTTCTCTCATTTCTGCCTTTCAGTTTTAGTAATTTCACTAAAGTGAACTGTTTTTCCACCTCAATAAGCTCCAACTCCAACATGATCCACTCTCTTTCAATCGCTATTGCTTGTAGTACCCTAGCCGCGAGGAATCTAAACACAGTGGAACATTAAAACTCTCCGCCGCCAACTAGCGTTTTGGAGCAGTACTGCAGAGCAACAAGACCTGAACGCAGAAGTATAAATGCTCATAACGGCGTCGCCTACGTGCGTAGCCAACGCCGCACATTACGGCGTACCCTCGACGCAGAAGTATAAATTGGCCTTTATATGCATCGCAATGCGGACATGGACGATTCTGAATCGATTCACAAATGTCAAAAATCGTTTAATCAATAGATTTGCATTTTAATAACGTAGAATTGACAGAACGTGAAAGACGGAACTCCGAACTGCAGTGCCCGGACCGTCTGAGGCGTGCACAGAACAGAGACACGATGGCTGAGCACAAAATCCAAACACCCTCCTCGTTAATAGCTGACGTGTGGAAAAGCCCACTAGTTGTAAGCTTTGTAGAGTAATATTTCGGAACACAACAAATATGAAAAGCTATATTACACGTTTCCACCCAGAGGAGGAAAAACACTAGGCTGTACCAGTCGTTGTTATATTATTAATTACAAGTATGCTGCTAGCTCAGGCACACATTTATTTTTCTGTTGGTTCTTTGCAATGTTAATAAATATATTGTATGTTAATTCTTTATGGGTCATTACTTTGTACTTTTAAAGCAAAGTATTTATAGTCACAATAAAAAAGATTAAGATAATCGATAATTGATTTAGCATTGAATCGCAGCCCTTTGAATTGTAATCGAATCTAATCGTGAGGTTTAGAGATTCCCACCCCTAATAGATTATGTTTCATTGACAGGGAGGATAGTCTCAAATCTTGTTGTAGTAAAGTAAATCAGAAATAACAGAGTACACAAATGTTCTCAAAGCTCGGTTTTCATGTAATTTTGGAGCACAGCAAAGTAGTTGATCTGGCAAAATCTACTTCTACATCGTTTTTAATTTCCCCCAAACAAACTAGAGGTACACTCTCGACAATGTGCATCTTTAGTGCGCACAAAGCAACACAACCACTGTGTTCTGTGAATGTGATTTAAATGAGTAGATAAGAAAGATCTTTTTAAACTCTTTTTAAAGCAGATACACTAAAAAACTAAAAATAAATGTGTTATGTCAAAACAGCAGGACTTTTTTTTGTCATTCATTGTGATGGTGACTCACCGTTGTTGCTGTGTCTCACACAGTCCTGGAAGACGGCATGCCACTTCTTCTGTTCTTTCTCTGTCATCACACAGAAGTAGTGATGACGGGCATAGGGATGCCACAGGATGAGGGGAAACTGTGTGGGGTACTTCAGAAATGGGGCACTTGCCACTTTGGCCTTTGGATCTAAAACAACAGACACAATAGAAGATGAACACAAATTCCCTGAATACTCAGTATACAGAAGTATAGTCTAATCAGAGAACTCATGTGGAACCGAGGATTGAACCACCAACCTTTCGGTTTGTAGACAACCCACATGAACCACTGAGCCACTGCCGCCCCAGTCAGTGTTTCCCAACCCTGTTCCTGGCGGCACACCAACGCTGCGCGTATTCTTTGTCACCCTAATCAAACACACCCATCTGATTATGAGCTGATGAGTTGAATCAGGTATGTTTGATTAGGGAGACTAAGAATACGCGCAGTGTTGGTATGCCGCCAGGAACAGGGTTGGGAAACACTGCTTTAGATGACAACATGACAAAAACAATTTCGGATGTAATGAGGATTGTGCAAATCTTTTAATGCATTAACATGCATTGTAACTAACATTATTAATACATTTAAATGCATTATACATAAAAGCTTTAAATAATGTGTTACATTTTCAAGATAAATCAGTAATTCTGTAATTACGTTTTTTATTTCCTCCTAATGTACATATAATTTTTTAAACCCTACTTGGACTTTAAAAAATGATTTTGTACTACATTCCTATAAGAATTCTAAGATTTCTAAACAACTTATTTTTGTATCATGTTATTTATTTATTAAATTAATTCATTTCTTACCACTCAGGTTATTGTTAAGAAGCTCCAGGTACTCCTCCATAGAGGTTAGGGCTCTATACCCGGCACAGTTAATGACCCCTTTGGACTGTAGACCTCGATCATGTGCCTGTAGAGGAAGCAGACCTTTCAGAATCCATCTGCAGCTGGGGAAATGACATACAGTACATGTCCACTAACAGCAATGCAATTTAAGTGAGGTCCAATAACAATAAGGCAAGCTAAGCAAAAGAAAAATTATCTTAATGTAGTGGTACCCGATATCAGCCGCCGATATTTGACGTGTGTGTAGATGTGAATGTGGGGGCGGGGATGTTTGTTTTTGCATGAGCGCATACATTACAAGTGCAAGTCCTGTCAGTTTAAACATCAAGTGCAAGACTGGAACTTGCGCGCTGTTTTCTGTCAGCCTTAGGCGTATTTTAGTCCCGCCAAAGCCTTATTTGACCGGCGAGTGATAGATGACTGACTGTAGTGCTTGTTTAATAGAACGAGCAGGGGGAGTGAAAGCCACAGTCGCGCACGTCTATTAATGAATAGAGTTGACTGAATATCTTTGTCAATATACGTTGGTAAAAGGTCGGAAGACCAAAGTCTTTTTTGTGAATTGTGCTAAAATAAAGTTGCCTTATCTTCTCTAAAGAGCTTTCCATACATGCAGATGGCATAAGCCACACTTTCAATAAACAAAAATATATATATATATATCAAGGGATGAAATGTTTTCTGTGTCGTGACAAGTGCGATGTCCTAAAATGCCTGGATAATCACACAACGTGTGCCGTCTATATGGATTTACTCCATGACAAAACCACCCCAGTCATTCTAGAATGATTCATTCTTTCCAAATTGAGCTTCAAGTCATCTGGTGAAATTGCTTTTGTATCACAGAAAAATAAAATATCGCATTTTTTACCAATATCGTACAGCCCTAATCCTCAATCCTATGTGTTTTCTATACAGAGATATCGACATTGGTAAATATCGGCATCAGCCATAACAGCAATAATATTGGTTATCGATATCGGCCACAATTTTCACATCGGTGCTTCCCTATCTGAATGTTAACATTTAATTATCTAAGCTGGGTGTGTTTGTGGTGAATATATATATATATATACACAAAAACACTCAGCAGTTTACACTCACCGCTTTGCTCTCATACAAGCCAATGTTGTAAGAGTCGCCCACGTACAAAAAGCGACTCCTCCATTTCTTGCTCTCTTCCAGATACTGAAACAGACCTCCGGAGAAGATGGACTTGTTCTTAAGAGGGTCCTGTGATGGGAACAAACATTTTAAATGAATGTGAATCAAAATCATTGTCCAAGAAGAAAGCATGACTAAACAATACAATGAATGATGTTTAGAAGACCAACATGAAACACTCCCAACAGTCTGGAATAACAAAAAGGCTAGCTCAAGATGTGTTTATATAACATTGATCTCAGTGATTCAGCCTAAAATAAGAAATGGGCAGAGCAATTGGTACATAAAAGGCATTCAAGGTTGTGTTATGTCTACAATCAAAACCACAGAGTTCTGCTAATGGATGCCCTCGGTGAGTGAACATGCCTTTGAACAGGGTTAATTGGTTAATCTTTGAAACAAAATCCAAAAAACATACAGACAAATATTTTAAAGTCCAGCTGTCTTGGCTCAAAACAATTGAGGGACTTCAAAAATGATTGTGCACAGTTCTTGAGAAATGTTTTTCTTGGCTGTGGTCTCGATTTCTGTGTGGAGTTGAGATCAATGACATCATGGACAATTGACTGTTTGAAAGTTTAAAAACTCAGCAGCCTTCAATTGTGAACTTTTTTTCTCTTTGGTCTCCAGATTAGTTAAGACAACCGGGGGACTCAGTTTCTTCGCAAGATCATCTCTCAAGCCCAATTCAAACTGACAGTTGCTGTTTACATGCACACCTTTTGTTTCAATCCGAATGTATTCATTATGATTGATGAATCCGAACGTAGTGTTTACATGAACGATAAATAAAGTGATCGGGTTGATGTGTGCGTTTATATCCCACAAGCTTCTAATCAGAATTGATTATTTGACATGCACACACTGCATGAATGAACAGTTTCCCGCTATTTGTGCTGTTCTCCATTGCTCGTTTCTTTGTTTTGAAGAGCAGACTTAATATTTATCCATTTCGGGTCCTGATTAGGAAACGACAAGGACATGAACTGTTATGCCATGCTGCTTATATTTAGCAAATAGTAAAAACACCCCTTCCTGCGCCCAGTATCAGTGGATGAGAGTATGAAGTGAGGACTGATGGGAATTCCATTCACAGACGATAAAGTGGTAGGCGAATTTTAGAATAACACAAGTCATTTAACATTTCTTTTAACAACTGCAGCACGTTCCGCGCATCATACGTCATTTTGCCATTTCAAAGTCATTGCACATACGCAATCTCTCGATTGGATGAGAAAAGGAACGAACCACCCCTTTCAATCCTAAAGAAATTTCATTCAGGAGCTCAATTGGATCAATTAAGTTGTTTACATGAAGGCTTTTCAGTCTGACTGAGCTGTCAAATCCTAATCGATTATTTGGTTGCATGTAAAAGTAGCCAGTGTGCTGCTGTTTGATCAAAAACTATTTGATCCATTTTTCCACAGCAGAAAAGCTGCTTTAGGCTCCTTAGATCTGGTGACCTCAAACCAGAAACAATTAGCATCCGAGGCCAGGAGAAAGGGAGAACATCCAAAACAAGTAAAGTTTTCAAAACTACTAAATAGTCTACACTGGGAATGCCCAAGGGGGCAATACATTACCCGTTGATGGACAGAAGGTCCAGCGACATTAATGTTTCCCCTGTCTATATTAATAAAATATAGATTTGCTAATATTACTTATTTGAATGGATTGATATGCTCTTGACAGTTGCATCAACAATTCATTATTTTTTCCCAAAATAAAAACAAACAAAGACAGTAACGCTCAGTTCATTTGTGAGCCGCTTATGTTGTTAGTTATGTCAATATTCATCACTCAAGTCAGTGGAAATGTGGGTTGGCACCAGCACCAGCATAAATGTGATTGAAAAGGAGCATGACTCAGAACTACCCAAGATCCTTTGATTCATCAGGTGGAATGGCGAATTAAGTCTTTATGTGCTTTTATGTGCGTGTGCTATTCAGGTCTTTGTTACGGTTATTTAACTTGTGTGAAATTTGTTCCACTTCCTCTTTACAGATTCAATGTCAATAAGAGCCTTCCAAATGAAATGTCCCAAAAAAAAGGAAGAAAAAGCAAGGAGGCTTATTACTTACCTCATTTTAATATGGGGTGGGCATTTCTTTGCCATTTTATTTTTGTTCTGGGATGTAAAGGTGAAATTCATGGAAATATGAGGGGCTTTACCTTTCTATGTAGTAGTTGTGTCTGGACATTCCCTCCTCCTTCGATCTCAAAGCGCACACAGTTGAACAAAGCCACGGCGTACTGCTGCTCGTAAAACCTCCCAAACTCTGCCATCACGGCACTGGTGCGAGCTAGGTTGGAAAAGACAAACAGAAACGTTCGATTTTTAAGCAGGACCACAGCAAAGGAAAGAAATGATCACCTAACAGCTGCCGAGTATACTGCAAATTGCAGGTTGCATTTGTTGGAGGTTACTTTGGGTGAAATGGTGGTTTACTTAACAATCAATCACAAAATGTTATAAACCTGTTGAGTTAGTTTAGTGTTTTAGTTGTGAATTGTTCACAATAGCAATTAGGCAAGATAACAGCTAAGCTAACACACAAAGAGTGTCACTTGATCCAAGAATTTTAGTTGACTAGAACCAGAACCACATATCATTAGCCAACAGAGAGCGAGTGAGTGAGTGAGTGAGTGAGTGATTTTCAAAGAAAAATCATGATGTTAAGGCCATATGCGACTATTAAACAACTTGAATTTAAATAAATATACTGTATAGTGCATGCTTCAAAGTCTAATATTGTACTACTATAAAATAAATATTAATAATATAAAAAAAAAACACTACCATATAAGATGTAAGGGATTATAATAGCACAATTCAAATGACAAATAACATTAACCAAAATAAACATTGTGATATTGGGACACACTGTGCAACCATGTATTCTGTTGCAACATCCTAACAGTTATGTGGAAAAATATGTGTAAATGCTGATCCAAGCTTTCCAGAAATTCAATAGGGTTAGAACACAAAAGGAGGTCAACAATTAAAGGGAGTTCTTGATAAAGAGAGAAACAGTTGCAAAAACAGTCAAGTGTGGAAATACACACAGTATGAAAATACACATTAAAAATGAAAAGACCTGAGCCTGCAGGCTTATCGAAGCTTTATGAAGAGAAGATTGTGCTACGAAGAATAATTTGCTTATATAAAGAGGGCAATAAATGGAAAAAGTGACGCATGATCGGAGGCGATCACATTTGAATGCCACATTCAAAGTATCTTGGTCTAGTTTTACAGCAAACGATATCCTTGGCATTTAAAATGAACATGTCAAACAATCTCAAGGCACTACATTGGGATAAAAGTTAGCACGTGTTCGCATGCATGTGACAGGAGATGCTTTCATAGGAACAGGAAGGAACAACCTGACAAGGACGGAAAAGGAAGAAGGCCACATCTCATGTCAAACTAAATTTATATACAGCGCTCCAAGTACACGTTCTTCTGGGCATTTCCGTTTACTGCATTATGGCCAAGGTCTCCACATGAAAGAATCTCTCCATTTACACCTTATTTCTTAAGAAACCCATCAGATTAGAAGCTTCTTGTTACAGGAAATTTGAACATGAAAAGCATGTTGTTTTGTTTGCATGAATGCAGCAGCCGACTCGTCTGAGGGCAGACTGATCTCTAGCAGACCCACTATTGTAATAAACTAGAATAACTTGTAGCTCAGTGTTGACTATTCCACAGTATTCTTTCACATGTATATTTGCAGAGAGCATTTCTAGACGTTCAAACGGCACCGGTGTCGATTCTCAGGAAAACAATGTCATCTTCAGAAACGCTGAAATTGCAATTGCGAACACAGCACATCAATTCACTCATCACATCTTAAGATGGGTTCTGCAAGGAACTGCTAAAGGCTCTGTAAAAATGTTTAGAAAAATAATAATAATTGTAAAAAATAATTTTAAGATACTTTATTTTATTTATTGGTTTTAATCAATTTTAAGTACTATCCCAGCATAGTTCTATAGTGAGTGCCATAACTTAATAGCCACTAAATATTTAGTATTTAAAGTATTATATTAAATTATTAGTATTATGAAGTATTTACACGTGTATATACACACACGACTTTAGGAAAGGGTTCCCCTCATACAAAGACCATAATAGCTGGCACATGGCTAAAAGATTAAAAATAACACAACAGAGCAACTACCTGTAACGAAGCATAAAAAATGATATATAAAATAAACATATAGTTGAGACTAGTGGCCATTTTGCAATCTTAATAGAAAAACCCTAATCAAGTGAGGTTGGTTAATCAGATGTGAAAGAGTTGCATTGTGGTGTGCTTCAAGGAAGTGGTTTAAGACTAATGATTTTCCTCTTGTTTTAAACTTTTTACCGCAACACTATATTTCTAAAATTGTGCAATGGTTCTTGCTTTGCCCAGTGGTGTGGTCGAGTGCATCAAGTAAAGACAAAAAAAAAATTTAACCAATTGAAAAATTACAATTAGTCCAGAACAGAGTGACACGACTCACTTTAAACTGTAATAGAAGGGCTAATATAACAAGAATTGTGAAGGATTGTCTCTCTGCTTTGTTTTATAAGAAATAGTTCTGTATCTAGAGTTCCTAATGTCCTGTGCTCTCAACTTTTCTACAGTAGTACTAGTCATTATTTTAACACCAGACATGCATAAAGGAGATGTTTTGTTTTATTTCCCAATTCAAAAACCACTGCAAAACAATGGACTGCAATATAGAGTGAATATATGGAATGATTTACCATTGATATTACATTGAACAAGAAAAAAATATTTAAGTTAAAAAATATAAACATTTAATGGCACAATATATAGTAAATTATTGTTGTTGATTAAATGTAGTTTTGTATTTTTTACTTGTTGGGACCCCAGGAAGAGTAGCCACAGCCCAGGTAGTGGCTAATGGTGATCCAAATAAACAAATACACTTATAGATCACAGATGGAAAAGACCATTTACAGCCAATTTAAGGAATTTTTTTTTTTTATTATTATTATTTTTTAACAGTTATTATAGCACCATGTCTTGCCGGATCTCCACTACTTTTATTAGGTGTCCCATACATGTGTCAAATTTGTTGTAAATATCTCATTTTGTTTTGAAGTTTAGATGCTTCTAGGGATGGGCAACGATTAATCGTGATTAATCGCATCCAAAATAAAAGTTTGTTTACATAATATGCGTGTGTGGTGTGTATAATTAATTTGTATATATAAATACCCACACATGTATGTGTAAATTTAAGAAAAATGTGTTATTAATATATCAAATATTTATATTTTTATATACTATTAATTATGTATAAATATCTATAAAGTACATGCAAATATTTCTTAAATATATACATGCATGCGTGTATTTATATATACAAATTAATTACACACACACATATTATGTAAACATAAACTTGAATCGCGATTAATCGTTGCCCATCCCTAGATGCTTATATTTATAAAAGCATAAAAATGATAATTTCGTAAAAATGATCAGAGCATAAAAATTATCAATCGACATTGATTGGATTTTTTTTGTTAGTTCCTATCACAATTTTGACATTTGGTCATTATTGTTTAGCTATTGACCTAATTTTTCAAGTTTCCTGTGGTGGTTTTATCTCGATCAGACTAACGTTTTCGAAGATAACCGCAAGTTCATTTAAACACCATTACACAAACCATTAGGCGAAATATGGCATGTTTGGTATCGTTGGACTTGGCAAGGATTCAGGAGTCTAAGGAAGTCACTTCTGTGAAATGCTGGCTTGAAACCACTCAGGCTCCTTCAGGGCATTGTGCTGATGATACCAAGTTTTGAAATGCGCCAACGTTCTCAGACTGTCATGGAACCCTGGACATGCAAATTTTCATCAGACTAACGGTTGGGTGAAAAGAGTGATTTTTTTTCCCTGTTATAGCGCCACCAAGTGGTCCCCCGTCCCGATTTTTTTTCATGTGATCGCAGAATAAGCTCAAACGTGTCCCGAGTTCACGAGTAAACTCTCCATCCGTTCACAAGTTAGCCGTTTTAGTAAAAGTGAGCCCGGTCACATCGAACATTTTGGTTCTTTAGATGATTATCGATAGTCACACTCCAGACAATTTTTTTAAAACAAAAACTAAATTTACTCAAAAATGGCACCTGAAGGGCGAGCAAAAATGAGGCATGTATTCTGTCCACCTTGAGCCAAGGACTCCAACGATATAAGACAATTGAGCCTAAGCCTAATGGTTTACTACCGTTACAGTACTTATCCTACGCCTTAAAAGTATGCACTCTTTATCTGAAGAAAAAGTACATCGTTTTCAGTGTGTATCAAAAGAGTAGACACGCTTTGCCATAATCATTAAATTCCATCTTTAAATGGACACTTTGTAGCATATTTACACACATCCTGTCACTGTAAACTGTCCTGTTAATCATCTCGCCACAGTTAAAAACCTTCACATTTCATTTATTTTAATACTTCTTTTTAATAAAGTAGTAGCAGCATGTTGGTGTCCCAGTTGTGTGTCTTTCAGCTGGAGAACTCTCCTCATGTGTTTGCCTAATGGATCTTTATAAAAGTCCACAGATGAAATATAACACACAACAACATTAAATAAATATTTTTTTAATCAGGTTACATGTTGATTATTAGTCACTCAACCTAAACCAATGCGCACACTTTTTATTCATGTTTGTAGTCCTGAAATGAATCCTCCTTCAATGCGGGTGATTTACATGGAAGCTTGTTTACGCAATATAATAAAGAATAAAAAAATAATGGGGTTGAGTCAGAATCTCGCAATAACTAAAAAAAAAAAAAAGTAAGAATTGTGTGATGTAATTGTAACTCGCAATTGTGAGAAAAAAAAAAACTGAGATAAATTGCAAATATATATAGTCAGAAACAAGCTTCCATAGATATTGGCCGTTATAGTGTGCACAGATCTACACTCCAAAAAATCTCCTGAAAACACAAGACCATGCAGGGACTTTTGCCATACTCTTTTCAACATCCTATGCTTTGAGACACACTTATTCTAATCTCACATACTATTTGTTAGGATAGATAGTATGCACATAGGGATTATTTATGCAGGTAACACCAAGTCAACTGTACAATTCAGACACTTGTTGAAAAACAATAGCAGAAACACATTAATGATTATTTTTAATACTACCTATACCATAAGTCATTCTTTCCAATAAATCTTCATCTGTTTGCCAGTTAAATCATTTTATCTCACTGTGTGCTTCTACAAATCCAATAATCAATCATCCATCCATCCATCCATCACCATAGAGAACACAAAGACCAAAAGATGACAAACATCCCCTCTCGCATGCACAGTCAGCAAATGAATCCTGCACTGTCCATGAAATTGATGTAGGGAGTGAAAGACAAGGGGGAGACAGATGAGGACACCTTGAGATCATCCCTTTCACTCCAAGACATGTTCATACTTGATCTCACTCTCTAAGAAAACATCCAGCCCTATTAGTCAAATAGTTCACAGGGGAGGTCTAAAGAGGAATTTCCTGTGTTCAAACCTCCTGTCAAACTGCTGACCTCCTGTCCATCTACCACAAACATCTTCATAACTGCTCCGGGCATCATTAAGGGAGAGTCTATGGGGGTGGCTTTTTTATCATCTCAAAAACAAACATCTTCCCACAGTTCATTACAGAGCAGTGGAATTTCAGGAGGGCCGAGTCAGCAGATAGCTTTTTATGACATCAGCTAAAGAGCCTGCATGAGATCCACCTGCATTGATCTCACGGAAATATTTCTCAGAAATGAGCTTAGCAGAACGAGACCATTATTCATGAAGTGGCGACTCCTTAAGTGACTCAAGCCTATCATCATCAATGAAAGATCCAGACTGGTACTTGAAACGCACACAATGAAACCTACTTGTTAACCAGTCCTGACTTGTTCCAAGAGTATGTGTGTGACTGTGTGTACAAGGTTGTAATTGTAGTTATCCAATATTTCCAGTCAAGCAAAAGAGCTTTTGTTATAAAGTTATTATGGGAACATACGTTTCAGATATTATTCCATTTCACTTTTTTTTTTGGGCAGCTTTCCACATCTAAAAGAAGAACTCTTTGGTCTAAAAGAATACTTGAGCTATATTTATGAACACTGTTTTCACCCATATATGATTGACATGAGGGGAAAGACGAGACGCAGCTCCAAAGCACAATAACCACCACACATACGTCACAAATTATGGACTGGTAACATTACATTTCCTTTCCCACTTGTCAGTTTGGTAGCACATGATATCTATGAAATGTTCATGGAAGTCTCTAGAAAATCTCAGCTCTTTAAACAAAAGTAAATGTTGTAAACAATTCAATATTCCAAATCTCTTAGGACAAAACCCTTTCTTTTAAACAATGCATGTCCTATCATGGTTGGGAGAGGAACTAATATGGTTCTAGTGGAGAATGTCTACGTGTAGAGGATATTTACAAAGTTCTCTAAACAACTAGAGGAACCATAATCCACACAAAAATACTGTTTATTCATTTATAGTTTTAGCCATTTTATTTTATTATTAATAGAGATAAAGCCTAAAATATTATTTGTATGGACACAAAACTTTGAAGAGACTAATCACTTAAAAAAATTGAGTGAAGTTGACAGAGGAAAAACTGTTTTTTGCCAAATTGTTTGCTAAACCGCTAAACGTGTATGGCGTGGGAAGTCGAATAAAAGAGGGATTAGCAATATGAAGTGTTTTTTAATACAAACATCTTTACTCAAAAATGTCATTTAAACAGTACACATAGCCTACTTGAGGCGTTCATGAATTCGGTCGCGTTAAATTAAATTCGGTCATCATTTACTCACCGATCATGTTCTTTCACAATCTTGTCTGGCTTTCTCTATTGTTTCCGTTGAATATAAAACGAGTTAGGCAGAGAGTTATGAACTGACAGTCACAGTTATTGATGTCAGGACTTTGATTTCTAAACTAAAAACGCGTCTCGCGAACGAGTCCAGGTTTCCTTTGTTGTAACGTTACTGCACGCTTCTGTTAAAAAGCTCTCTTAAACGATTGTGGTTGTTGTGTCCAAGTTCACTATAAGCATTTATGTTTAAAGTATCGTATATATTTTGTACCGATAATGGCGTCATCCCCAAGTAACACAAATGCGTTTTACCTGTAATCATCTCCCGCTTGCCTTCGTCCAGGTTGGAGGAAATCACGTCACCCATGATGGCGATTTAAATGACAACCACAGATATTGGGGAAAAGTTCCTTTGTATCCAAAACTTAGGAAACACTACAGAACTGTTTCTTCAGAATTAACCATCCCTGGTCACTCAGTTGCGTTCATTTTGCGTTGACGAGACTGTGCGACGCCCTCTCTGTGTGAGAAACAAGAGTCATTTAAACTTGTTCAGTCAAATGAGTGCCATTCAGAGGGTGTGGTTTACACACTGACACACCCAACTTCAAAACATACCGTGATGTATTTATGATTTTTAATCACGGCTGATTAGATTGAGCGTCTGGTATGATATAATATGATCATGGAATCGCGTACAGCTTTTGTTATAGGATGGGATTTGCTTTATTTATTTATTTAAATAAATAAATAAATAAATAAATAAATTATTTTTTTCCACAATTCTTTTACACGTTGAATTGATTTCCACAAACATCTTTAAAACTTCATTCCCAAACCAGGAAATATTGTCTCCAGGAAATGCAAACAATTTTTATGGAAACTGAATGGAGCCCTTAGCTCAAGGGAAAGGGAGCAAAGGGATAATCTTAATATTTCATAAAGATAATCATTAATAATGATAATACATTTTATAACGAATAATTCAATAGGCCTATATATATATATATATATATATATATATATATATATATATATTGAATTATTCGTTATAAAATTTCTTTACTTATTATTTATTTATGTTATTTTATGTTTATATATATATATATATATATATATATATATATATATATATATATATATATATATGAAGAGTTCAGATGCAAAAGCCTCTAAGTGCCATTTGAAATTTTCTTCTAGAATGATCATTTTTATCAAGCTTCTATATTTAAGTTCAGTGATTTCACTTAAATGGCAATGAAGATTACCTATTAATTGTTATTTAAGTGAAATTACTGAACTTAAATATACAAGTTTGACAAAAATCATCATTAAAGAAGAAAATTTAAAATGGCATTTAGAGGCGTTTGCATCTGAACTCTTCATATATAAACATAAAATAACATTTTGCTTTGTAATTTAGCTTGATGAAAACCACAGTTTAAATATTATTATTAAAATTAATATTTTTTTTTTTATAAAATATTGCAATTTTGATAAAATATATTGGCATAAAATATTGTTTTATAGATTTTTATGGTCAATTAAAATAGGTTCATAAAAAGTAAAAAAAAAACATGTAATTTCATAAAATATTAGGATTTAATATGATTAAATTATGATTACATTATGTATATGTATTGATATAGCTAATAATAGCCTATAATTTTAATATAATTATTTTTTTTAAACTTCAAATGTTTTTTTCCCCCAAATAATTTTAAATTATTATATATTATAATGATTATTTTGATTAGAAAATAGTCATGAATATATATATATATATATATATATATATATATATATATATATAAGCAAAAGATCCCCCAAACCACTGTCTTTTTTATATCGTCGAAAAGTTAAATGGCGTTAAACGATAAAGGGTTCATGTTTGGTAGAGTTTTATCGCCCTCATGCGTTCAAATTTGATTATGCTCACATTTGATAGGCTACCTTTTTTTCAGTGTTCTTTGACGAAAGCTTGATGAAAGTTAAAAAAGAACCTTTAATAACATTATAACTTTTGACCAATTTAATTCATCCTTATTTCATGAATAAAAGTAGCCCTATTGATTTATTTTATTTGCCCCAAAAAATAAAATTCTTATTGACCCCAAACTTTTGTACAGTAGTGTTTAATGTTACAAAAGCTTTCTATTTCAGATAAATGCAGACAGGCCTAAAAAACTTTATATTAATCAAAGAATCCTGAAGTAAAAAATGTAGCCTAAATAACACTTTTCAACATTGACAATAATCATAAATCTTTCTTGAGCATCAAATCATTTGATTTCTGAAAAATCAGGTGTAACTGAAGTTCTGAAAATTCAGCTTTGATCAGGAATAGGCTAAATTACACGTTTCTTTATTCACACAGAAAACATCTGTTTTAAATTGTAACAATATTTCCCATTTTGATTTTTTTTTTAATCAAATAAATGCAGCCGTGTGAGCAGAAGAGACTTAGGCCTATTTTAAAAACATAAAAAAAGTTCCCGATCCAAAACTTGTAACTAGTAGTGTTTTAATTGAATGATATCAACTAAAACGGATTTGTTTGCTAATGAAATTAAAGTCAATATTAATAATATGAATTAATATATAATTAATAATATAAAATATTAATATATAAAATATGGAACTTTTTGCAGCCAATGAACGCCATAAAAACAGATGCCAATGCCATGATATTTTAAAACCTCCATTGATCATAGCATGGAGGTGAAAAAAAGAGAAAAATCGGTATGAAATCAAGAAAGGATTCACTTCTTATTCCGTGTCTGCGCTCTGCGTCCTCCGCGTTTGGCGAACGCGCCGCTCCGTCGATCTGTAGCATGAGCTCAGATGTGCGGGAGAGAGGGGCGCATGCGCAGTGACGGATCTCCGCAGTCAGACGCCGTGAGGAGTGCGCAGCATCGCTCAGCAAGAGGAGGAGAGGGAGGAGAAGACACTGCACACGGGCGAACACTCACGAGCATCATGGCACCAATTGGATTAAAGGCGGTCGTTGGCGAAAGTAAGATCATAATGTTAATTCTCCTCGGCTACTGATGTTTAATGTTTAACCATGTGAACGTGCTATTTTTATGGTACCTTCCCGTTGCATGTCATTAGTGTTCCTCAGCGTTCTGTTCCCCTGGATGCGGCTGGTTGTTTCCCTGCCATTGTGCGGAACGGGGAGGACATTACTCTCGGGAGGTTGCAGATACGAATTGTGAATCAGAGGAGCATGACATGAATAGGTTTTATTCCCATTGCGTGTTGTTTAAATTATAAATATGTGGAACGAGATCCAAACTAACAGGAAAAAAAAAAAAAAGCTTGATAAAGATGGTCCAGAACAGGAACGCCCTTTATCAAGCACGGACGTATGAGGAATTACGCAGGGAATTGTGTCGACAGACCACTGCGATGATATTTTATCCTATTATTATCTATATAATTAATGAGAATACATCTGAAAGATTTGTTTGCATACCTCTACCTGCTACTTCCGAAAATCAGCTTAATAAATGCGTTTTTGGCACAGCCTCACCCTTGTGATTGATCACCAGTGCATTATATTCCATTGCGTAAAGCTCCAGCTGCTGAACTGCTCTGCCCAGGAAGTGCCCGTGCTTTTACCATGAATGCAGCTGGCTCGCTTCTCCAGCTGGATGATCGTTAAATGGCGGAGTTGTTCGTGTTCGGTTGAGTAGTGGAAAATGAGAGCACCAAATGCGCATCCCTCAGACGTGGAGCGGTATCTGTCATGTGTGGAGTGCAAGAGAATGGCGTTTAGTACACACAGATTGATGCTCGTTGTTGGTACTTTCGTTTTTGTTTTGTTTTTTGGGAGAAATGCTGCTTATGCAGCAGGATAAGAAGACAATTATATGAAAGATTGATGTCAATTATTATGACTCTCACTCTCTCTTTTAGAGATCTCAGGGCTTGCATAATTATAATTGGGAATCGAAATTTGAGCTTTTTCATGATCAAACGCATCTATTCATTTATTCAAAATAATAAAAAACACATTAAAATGCAAGTTAAAAAGATTGTGGGTCTTTTTAATATATATATATATATATATATATATATATATATATATATGGATTTCAAAGAAAACCCCTTTAGGTCATCTAAACAACCTCTTATGAAAAGACTAATTTTGTTCAGGTCAAATGGAGAAAAAATATTTTTGCCTTGAAAAATATGTTTAAAAAAGGCTTTAAAATTATTATTATTATGCCTAAATTTCATTGAGTATCATATTGAAGCAAAATAAATAAATAAATAATATATATATATATATATATATATATATATATATATAATACTTTCAAAAACATTTCAATCCAGTAATTATTTGTCATTTACCCATGTATTATGCCCTCATCATTCAACAGAATCATATTAAAAATTTTGAGTTAGTTTCATTTGTAATGTATCAGTTAATGTTGTTTAAACACCTGCTCAAAAACTGAAAGCATGGAAAATATTACATAATAGTGAAAATGCTGTTGCATTGTCCAGTCCAAATGAAAGGGACACATATGATGAATATTGACTGAAACCTGATCATTAGTGCTCCGAACATCTGCGCTAGATTCTGTCTTCCTCACACGCAGGATGATGGATTGGTTTTCCTGTGGTCTCTGATGTGTTGGTTTCACTGTCTTGTGGGACATGAGATACACATCATCAGACGCAGGGTCAGATAGAGAGCAAAGAGATGAGAGGGTACTGGCCAAATGCACGCACACCCTTGCTTAGATTGTCATAGTTTTGTTTTTAATGTTTAAAAGATGCAATATTTCACAGGGATATGTAGGATGTAATGTAAGGGGACAGGACTAGATGGAAAGCATGTGTAAATGATTCATAGTATTTGTCTAAAGGGTCTTTCATAGTCTAGTTCTGAATGAACCAGTTCTTTTGTTAGCCTGCCTATTTGTTGATCCATTTTCATGAATTGAGCTTATACTATATGCCCTACTTACCAGCTGCAGCCTTCATTACATTCAGTATTCAGGGAAACATATTTCCTTTTATTTCCCCACAAATCTCTTTATAGTAAGATTTTGATTCTGCATATTGCAAACACATTAACTGATATAATCTTTGTCATGTTCGATATTTAAATACATATTTATTATATAATAACATATATTTATATTATATATATAATTGTATATTTAATGCACACACACACACACACACATACATATATATATATATATATATATATATATATATATATATCTGTCAAGCTAATTTTGCCAATACAATCATAAAGTCGCAAAGAACATCTCGAGGGATTCTCAGATATACATCCACAAACAAATCCTATATGAAGTGTATATGACACCCCCTTAGACGTTGTCAATGCTTCTCTATTCTCTTAACTTGAAGCTGAATTAAAGGTACAGTAAGTGATTTCTGAGAAATGCTGTTGAGGGTGAATCGGATCGAGCAGCCAGGGGGCTGAATACTCATGATAGGAGAGGATTGAGAATGACCAAGAGGGAGATTTAAAGAAAGACTGTAGAAAGGGAGATGGCTGAGAGACATTACAAAAGAGAAGTGGTACTCACTGCAGAAATAAATGACGTTCAGCTCCTCCTCTCTGGATGTCTAATCGAGGGGTAGAGAAATGGGTAGGGTTAGGGTGTGGTCGGATATTCTAGCTCCACCCATTAGGCCCAAATTACATTCGCTAGACGTAAACTCCTCCCATTTTCTCTGCGGTGAGCAGCCTCTCAGAATATCACTGGAAATAGAAGGGTTACAGTATGATCAGGCTATTGCATTAGGGATCAGGTTAATATTAGAAAAGCTATCCAGCGCTAAAAGAGGGGAATGCCATTAATGGAGGTTGCGTTGTTTCTTTACAAAGCATTATATTGCCTGCTTCAGCTATGATAAAGAGATATCCACTCTTCTAGGGGTGGAGCAATTAAGGGAGGAGAGCGTTTGTTTGGGTTCATTTCAAATATAAATAGTGTTTCTCAGAAATTCCTCACTGCATCTTTAAGACCAAAGTCCTTGATCATAATGTGTATACTTGTGTATGGCATGCGAAGATAGGACAGTCAATGTGCCTTGCAGCAAATTGCAAGAGTGTGATTCATGCTTGACTTGAACGGAAGACATTTATAACTCCCTTAACGCTCAAAGAGAGAGCCCTGTGCCTTTCAAGTATTTCTCATGTATTGAGAACCATTTTTGACAATGGACAAGTCTTAATATATGAGAGTATGAATGAGCACTGCATGGAGAGCACTGATCCAATATGTGGCTCATTGTTTCAGAATTGCCTCCAGTATCAACTGATCAAAGTTAGCTTTTGCTTTGTCCTTCCATTCAATACTCAAGCAAACCTCCAACATAATTAAAGAACCCATGGAACAGACAGACCATGATAAAAATAGCAGCCAGTTAATGATGATTAATTCTAGTGTGAATGAAAAAGAATGAGGGGTTAAATGAAGGGCAGAGTGGAAATTAAGAAGGCAGTAGCCATACAAACCAGATATTACATATTCTGAGAACAGTGTGATCGGAACTAAAGCTTAAAGGTGCATAGCGAGAGTTTTCGCAGAACTATGCCCCCTCTGGTGACCAGCGAAACTGCAACCAGAGGTGTGCGCGCTCATGGATCACACGCACATGCATGCTTGCACGAGCTGTTCATAACCAAAGGAGCAACAGCCGCACAAATAATGTCTTCAGAGGTAATAAAGTTATAAATCTGCAACTCATTGTAAATATAATAAGGAAAGGCAAATGAAAGGAAAGGAAAATTTGAGTAAATTACACACTTATGTGTGTGTGAGGGGAAAAAGGGGTAGTAGAAAACTTTTTTATGCGTTTACTGTATCCACTTATGATTGTATTATTATGGAAACACTTTCATGAACAATATACAGTACGTTATTACTTTGTATCGGATCCCGTTTGAGCCCTAGAGCAGATCGGAGATCTCTCCATTTGTTGAAAGCTTCCAGATGTTGACTCTCGTGTTATTCCGACACCTGGCACTAGACAAAAGTTGTATTGTCTTTTTCTTACGTGGAGTTTGCGCTGGGGTTTGGAGTGAACTACAAGCCGATCTCCTTGACTCCATCTTCTACTTTTGTCGAAAGTTGACTAAAGTTTTTTCGCTCGAGTTGTCTTCACTGATACGGAGAATGGTGGCGAATACACAAACCTGCCAGACATAGCCAGGTGAGCGTGAACGCGCATGATGTCACGCCCAGTCTCAAATTCGAGCCCGAATCCCTCTCATTTATTTTACTGTACAGGATTATAGAGGCAATCGCAGTGATCGGAGAAGGGCTCATTCAGCCCATCAGGCAATTGTTTAATGTTGTAACGTACGGACAGAGACGGTCGGATCCATGTGCAGCACTTTATTCAAACACAAGCAGACATGAAAACAGGCAAACACTTAAACAAAGGGGCAATCCAGAAACTCGTGGTCAAAACAGGCAATGGTCGAGGCAGGCAGCACAGGTTCGTGAACAGTCCAGGAAACAGGCAAGGGTCAAGAGTCCAGGGAAACACGGAGACACAGAACAGGGAAGAACGCTCGGAATTGCACGCTTACAGTGTAACAAGACTTCGCAAGGGACACAGGGAAAACTCAGGCTTAAATAAGGAACTCAATAACCAATAATGAAACACAGCTGAACATAATGAAACACAAAGAGTCCAAGGGGAAACAAACATGGGGAGAGGGTGCCCTCTAGTGGCTCTCGAGGGCACCACGGCTGCTGATCGTCACATAACCCCCCCTCTAAGGAGCGGCTTCCAGACGCTCCTAAGAGCTCCGGGGGGAGGTCAACGGGGGCTGGGATGGAGGGCCAGGCCCATGGAGAGGCAGGAGGCCAGGCACATGGAGAGGCCTGGGGCCGTGGAGCGTGGGTGACCAGGAAGGAGCAGGACGTGATTGCGGCCAGGGCGGAGCAGACACAGGCGGGGTCCATGACAGCCTCGCCTCCATGGCCCTCACGGACTCAGAGGTCCATGTCAGGATCACCTCCATGGCCCCCACAGAGTACCTACTGCCCCCCCCCAAAAAATACTTGGGGAAATTCCCGGGAGGAACCTCTGGGTGGTGAACGGGTACAGGAAAGGCCTCCCGGAGCTTGAAGGGTGCAGGCAGAGCGAGGCGCAGAGGCGGGGCCGGCAGGGCGAGGCGCAGAGGCGGGGCCGGCAGGGCGAGGCGCAGAGGCGGGGCCGGCAGGGCGAGGAGTCTGGGCACGCTCACCGGGGCCTGGCGAACCAAACGAGTCCTCCTTCTCCTCCTGCGGCGGCGCGTCACAGGGCTAGACACACTCGCTGGGCTGGACAACTCACTCACTTGAAGAGGAGATGCAGCGCTCACTTGAAGAGGAGATGCAGCGCTCACTTGAAGAGGAGATGCAGCGCTCACTTGAAGAGGAGATGCAGCGCTCACTTGAAGAGGAGATGCAGCGCTCACTTGAAGAGGAGATGCAGCGCTCACTTGAAGAGGAGATGCAGCGCTCACTTGAAGAGGAGATTCAGCGCTCACTTGAAGAGGAGATTCAGCGCTCACTTGAAGAGGAGATTCAGCGCTCACTTGAAGAGGAGATTCAATTACTTGAACTGAAGACTCACTGGACAGACTAAA